ATTCAAAACTATTTGTACCCTGTTTCACAATTTCAGAAAGGTCATATTATGTGGTACATTCCGTGTGGTTCCCCATCGGCTGCATGATTAACTACAGTGCTTCCACTCTTCCGTATTTTTACGGAAATCCGTACTTTCTGCCAGTTCCGTACTTGTCCCTCCATCATTATCTACTCCCTCCTTAAAAAAAACTGCGACAGTGCAGGACTGCCGAAATTCCGTACTCGCCTTCGTATCGTCCTTATATAAGGTACGGATATTTACGGTAATTCTCTCGGCAACAAGTTAACGTTATAGAAACCTGCCAAATTGCGCATTTCCTGCAATCGGACATTATACCGCTATGTCCCAGTCCCATACATTCATTGCAGGTTGGTCGGCAGTGCATTTTTTACCTGCAGATGGATCAAAATCTGGCGAACCTTTTGTGTCAACTTCATCCTTTCTGTCATTCACTCATTCAATTCCTTCCGTCTATCTTCGGATTGTTGCCGCGGCTGGAAAATCTGCGCGTTGATCAAGACTGATTTTGATCTTAGACAGAAAATTACTGTCGGAAAGAAACTTTTTTCGCAAATGTTATCTAGATCTAGAGAAATTATCAATGCGAAGATTCTACGGCACGTGAACGCAATATAAGGACCGCGATGAAAGAAATATAATTTTATGCTGATACGGTCGTGACCACTACGGATGGGATCGCCGATTGCGCTGATCGCTCGACTTGGTCGAACAACCGTGTTTGCTTTGAAACTGAAAACAAACACGTTTGTTTTTGAGGCGATCGAGTCGGGCGATCGGCCGATCCCGTCCATAGTGAGCACCACGTATAAAATCAAGAATAATTCGAAGTGGTGTTCCGAGGTTGTGACAGGCGACTTTCAGACATGAAAATTTAGAAAAAAAATGTTGGTATACGCTGCGCAACCGTATTTTCAAGGTACATCTATTCATTATTCCCAGGTTTGCCTGCTGTCAATGGTGCGACTACAAATTAATTGAATTATAGTAGCAATGAAATGGGAACCTGCTTTTAAACATTTCCAGCAAAATGTTGGTGAAAAAATAAATATTATGGGCTGTAGGCAATATCTTCAAACAGGCTCCCAAATGCCATTTTCTACCCTCTAAAAGCACAAAACTTCAATTTCTGCGGGGGCTTCGCCCCCTGGACCCCCACCCTGTACCCTGCTGGGGCGGCCCCCAGACCCCCCGCAGAATTGTCCTTACTTTTTAGCTTCAGCTGGTGGAAGCACTGTAACTAGCTCACAGCGAGCTCGTGTTGTGGTACATCTAGTAACATGGCCTTAGAGAGCAAACATCCGTGTCGTTGCCCTCTTGTGTAGTTGACTAACAGTAGTGACAGACTTTCCTATGGAGATTGGTCACATGTATGCCGACCCTCACTCACTCACAGACAGACAGACAGACAGACAGACAGACAGACATACAGACAGACAGACAGACAGACAGACAGACAGACAGACAGACAGACAGACAGACAAAGATATATAACACAGTACAGACACACACTTAGACACATACATAGACACCTTCATTCACACAAAGACACACACATACAAACACACACACTAGAGCTTGAGTCTGCTAAATGAATCGAAGGCTTTCGAACAGCGGACTGCTTGCGCCAGAGGCTTGCAAGCGGGCTTGTGCTTTGCGTTGTCTGCCGCTCGCTACCGGGGGGAACTTCCAGTGAGTTGTGACTGCGACAGTCTCTAGCACACACACATGCGTACGTAGATACAAAAACACACACACACACACACACACACACACAGGCAACATTAT